CCAGTGGAGCCCCACCGGCCAGGGTGTGACACCCGGCTCGCCGCCGCCCCCTCACCTGCCCAGCAGCACCACGATGGGGTAGATGGTGATGATGGAGACGCCGAAGAGCAGGCGGGCGACAATGACGACTGGGTCATTCCCTGGGTAGGACATCAGGACGTCGGATGCCACAGCCTCGCCGAAGGTCAGATAGCCATAGAGCCCTGCCGATGGGGAGGCGGGGGGTGGGCGGCTGTGCCAGTGAGAAGGACAGAGGAGCCCCGAGGAGGATGGATGAGCCCTGAGGACAGGGGACCCCCGGGGCAAGGAAGGCGTGAAGGGCTCCAGTTCTGGGGTTACCGGTGAGGGAGTAGATGAGTAGGCAGATGAGCATGGAGAGCATGGAGACGGCGACCCAGTGGGAGAAGCTCTGGTTGCGCATGCTGCTGTAGATGGCCACGCAGGCCTCGTGGCACTGCAAGGCACGGGGGGATGATGCTGGGGCCCCATGCAGGGACAACCCCCATCCCCAGTGCCTTCCCTCCCACCCGTGGGTGCCCTGTTCTGCTCTTCCCCGTCCCCAGGGGTTTGTGTCCTGCCCCGCAGCCACCTCTGGTGACAGCCGTGGGTCCCCTTCCCTGCAATCTCCCCTGCAAGGGATGGTGTCCCCATGGTCCGGGATGCCCCGGCAGCCGCGGACAGTGGGGCCAGGGTGACCTACCTGGAAGCCAAAGCAGATGGTGGGGATGACGCTGAAGATGGAGGCCCAGGAGGAGGGCCTGTGGCATGGGGGAGAGGAAGCACAGAGGGAAGGGCGTGAGGCCCCCGGAGGCAGGGGGGACTTTGGTGGCATAAGCTGTGAAGCCTGGATGCCACTGCGGGAACCTCCCACCCGGTGATTTTGGGAGAAGGGGGGGATTGCTGGGGTGAAAGCTGGGGCTGGGGGCTGCCACCCACCCACCGCCCTGCCAGTGCTGTCCCCAGCTCATTCCCCCCCCACCCAGGGCCACCCCCTGCACTGCCTCCAGCCCTGCCCAGGGCACTGCTGATGCCACGGAGGACGGGGCAGGAGGGACGCGGGGCTGACCCCTGCTACCTGGAGGGCTGGGGGAGCTCGGGCGAGCCCAGGCTCTCTGCCTGCTGGTGGTATTTCAGGATGATGACCAGGGTGAGGTAGCAGGCGGCCAGCGTGCCCAGGATGCTGCCGGGGCATGGGAGAGCGTCAGCACGCAGACCCCCCGGCAGCCAGGAGGGAGGGGGGTCCTGTGGCCCCGCAGGGACCTAGGAGGAGGTGGCTTGGGCTCCAGGGTACCCAGGGGTGGGCCACTGCAGGGGTAGCCCCGGTGGTACCTGGAGTACTTCTGGAAGCCAATCTCCCTGGGGACGGAGAGTGGGAAGATGACGAGGATGCAGAGAGTCGAGAGGGTGAAGCGCTGGTCTGCATAC